TACAAAAGAGCAGAAATAAAGGAATCAGACATTTTAACGACAATTTTCATAGGTACATTATTCATAACAGCCAAAAGTTATGTTATATACATACAATGAAACATTATCCAGCCAAAAAAGGAGAAAAATTCTGGATACATGCTTATGTGCACAATAAGTCAAGCATGAAAGGACGCATACTGTAACTGAACTTCTATGAATGTCTAGAATCGGCAAATTCATTTTAGTGGAAAGGAGAAGAGCTGTTATCACAATCTGGCAGAAGGAGAGGAGTGAGGAATTATGTGTTTAATGGGTTCAGTTTCAATATAGAATAATAAAAATGTTCTGGGAATAGATAGGTATGACAGTTGCCCAACAATATAAAAATATCTAATACCACTGATCCTTATGCTTAAAATGGTAAAAGGGCAAGTTTTATGTTCTATATATTTTACTACCATTGTTTTTTGAAAGTAGAAAAAATAACACCACTATCATATATTAATAGAATATGTATTACATTCAGATTTGTTTACCAGCAGTATACAAGAATAAGAGATTTCAATAAATGTTATTACTCTGAAAATGTAATAAAACATAATACGTGCTTTTTCAATACACTGAAATGTTTAGCTTTATTTCAACAGCACTGAATAGTTAAATAAGGGAAAACTCTCAAGAGAATGGGAACATATGAATTACAATGCAGTTATGACTTCACAGACTCAACGATTCTTTCTTCCTGTTTTCTGAACTTAAATTTCTAGCCAAGGGAGGTGATGCATACATGTAGTCTCAGCTACCTGAAAGCCTAAAGCAGAAGACTCATTTGAACCCAAGAGTCTGAGACCAGCTTGGGCAACATAGTAAGACATCTACCTTAAAATAAGTATTTCTAGCCATAAAATGATATGATTAAAGCTATTAAAATTTAGGCCTAAATGAATGTGAACCAAGTACTATAATGCATTACCTAAATATCTGCATATTAGTAATATATGGCAAATATATACTTACTGTAAAACAAGAGTGAGTAATTTTATTGCTTGTACTGCAACATCATATTCTTTGTCAAGGGTCATAGACACAATTCTATCCTAAGAACAAAAAGATTAAAATATTTTAAAAGGAACACCAGAAAAATCTTTGAAAAATTTTGAAAAATCTTTTCAAATTACAAATAACTTGTAATTATTTAAATGAATACTAACCTTGAATCGACTGGTAAATAGCTCCAGTTTGGAATTAAGTTCTTTGTTATAATAAAGCCCTTGTAGAGCAGTAAGACATTTGAGTCTTACCTCACCTTGCTAAAAGAAACAGAAGGAGAAAACACATTCAAATCATGTATTTCCTTGCTCAATATTCATGAAGTATAAATTTTCTACTTTAAATTTAAATCAGTAAATAGCATTTGTTCAGAAACTGTCATATATGATAATGGAAAACAGAAATTAGACCACAAGTTTAAGACTAAATACAGGGTTAATATTTCTGTAGGTCAATGGATAGTATTCCTCAAAAATCTGTTCAGAGCAAAACTACTGTGAAAAGTAAATAGTCGTATATTTCAGAATAAGCAATGTTCAGAGGAAATACATTCAAGGCAATCATCAAGGCAAGTAAGAAGAGCTTAAAAATACTAGTTTAAGGAAGGAAATATATTAAAGGTCAGAGGCCAAGATGTAAGGTATCATCTGAGTAAGATACATGTTTATCAAAAGAGGATAAAAATTAAAGGAGAACTGAAATATAGCTTCATGGGAGAACATGTGCTTAGCATATGCAAGGCCCCGGGTTCAAACTAAGCACTGCAAAACAAAACTAAGGAAACATGTTAAATGTATAAGACTCACATAACAGAGCAAGAGCTCCTCTTAGTATTCTAAAAATGTCTCGTCCTCACCACCTACACAATGCTAGTACTTCAGCACAGAAGGAAAGTCACTATTGAAGATTAAAACACTGACCAAGATTAGAAAATATAGTGGACTTTTTGTGATGGAGACCCCAAGGTTTGACAGAGAAGACAGAAAATAAAGAAGAGGTTTAAAGGGATGTGATCTAGAATATGCAGACATATAGATAATTTATAAAATGAGGTCTGCATACAATCATGTCTATGTGTAGTATGGAGGAGATATAGGGCACATCTTACCTTATCATGCATAGTCCAACCAACATATTTTAAATAACTGTCATTAAGAAAGGCATCACTATACATCTTCATCCAAATGCCAATCTCTTCAATGCATATAGCTCTGATTTCAGCTATTGCATCCCTAAATGGAGAAAGGGCAGGTTATATATAATCAGTGCCATGGTACCATAGGGCATATGGGTTATTCAAGAGATGTCAAGTATTTCTGATCTACTATTAATATACCATCATCCTAACTATTGTTGAGGAAATATTTAAAAGTAGAACTGAAATGAAGCATTTTAACAAGTTTAGTCTAGTTGGCAAAAGTCAACCAATATATAAATATTCAAAATTAAACAAAATTTTATAAGCAAAATACTACCCTTACCTTTTATACTAGACTATAATCCAGTCTTTTATTACATCTGCTAGGCTTGTGTTCAGAAGTTAACAGGTACACTAATCTAGCAAAACCATAATTATCTGGATGAGAATTACTTATACATAAAACTTAAGACAAGCTCAACTGGGATTTGAATAACAGATTAAATGATTTTAGCCTGTGGTTGACTCTTCTTTCCTGAGACTATGTTGCCTAGGCTGGTCTCAAGCACTTGGGCTCAAGTGATCCTGCTGCCTCAGACTCTAAGAACTCCAAGTATGTGTCACCGTACTTGGCTTAGACTAAATTATTTTCAATTCTTTCTTGCATACTAGTGAGTCATTGAAAACAGAATAACACAATAGGAAAATGTTTTAGGAAAATTGCAATAATGAAAAAATGTGAATATAATGAAGGGATAAATTAAGAGACTAGTAAAAACAGAAACAAAAAAAATCATGTGTTAACATGAGGGTATTACAAGGCTTATTATATGGAGTCAATAAGTACCACATTGAGGAAATAAAGGGAAACTTGAATAAAAATGGCACCAATGTTTAAGAATAGGTTATAACAGAAACCGTGCTAAGATTACCTATTTCATCTGCTCATTCAAAATAGCAAAAGAAAGCATCTCATTTTAATCTATCCAGACTTTAACAGTAGTATTAAAATGGAAGTGAGTCAGTAATTATTAGCATGTGCAGTCTACCAACCAATATATCCAAAAGCAATTATGTACTTTGTACCCTGACTGAATAATGTAAGTATCTTCCATTGGCTGGACAGTGACAAGTCAGGCACAGCATTACCCCTTTATTCAGCTAGGAAGCCTCAAGGTCAGAGCAGTTAAATAATTTGCTCAAACTTAGTCAGTGGCAGCTTCAGTCTCTAACATTTATCTTACTGTAACACTCTTTCCACTAATTAACACTGGCAAAACTACTAAAAAAATGTTGACTTACCGGTATCTATGTACAAACACTCCTTTAAATATTGCATTCATCATATTTTCTATTTCATCTTGATTTTCCTGAAGCTATAAAGAAAGAATACACCATATCTTTTGAATTCCAAAGGAAAACAACATCTGTTACAAGAAGAAATACAGGTTTTACCAGTATTTGGTTAATTACATCTTTTTATTCTACTGGACAAGGGTAACAACAGAGGGGAAAAATATTGGCTATCAGGTGGCTAAAGTCCCTGATTCCTGAAATATCTGACCCAGCATCTAATATTAGCATCTAATATTTGGCTGGTTCATTTTTTTCCTAATGTTTATAAATTTCCATTGTATAAAGGTAGAGAAATCTCCTGTCATTTTTTGTTACATAGCATTCATTATACAGTATCTATTATGTCCATATCAAAAATAAAGAAATTTTCATTGTCTGTATCTTTATAGTCTAAAAAGGAAGAGTGGTATGAACTAGAGTCTTCTCAAAAACAGGGAGTCTGGGGGTGGACATGGGGGAAAGATAGCTCAGTCATTAGGATCACTGGCTGCTCTTGTAGAGATGGTTCAGTTCCCAGCACCCACAGTGCAGCTAACAGCCGTCCATAACTCTAGTTCCAGAGGATCTGATGCCCTCTTCTGACCTCCATAGGCATTCTACAACATGGGTGCACTTACATACATGCAAGCAATACACACGTACACATAAAATAAATATTTTCTAAAAATGAAGAATTAGAGTAAAATAAGTACAAGATTTGTATTACTACTAGATTATTTTCCAGAAAGACAGACTGACCAGGAATCATGAAGTAAACATTTCAAATTTTGGTTATCATGTTAGTTATATATGTATCTACTCATATACACTTTAAATTTGTAGTTTAAGAATTAAGAATGATATTGTTTCTTTTATAATCTAAGGATAAATTGGTTTTGTAATTGTTACATGTTTTAGTATAATGTATTCCCTCTCTGTATAAATAATATTTTGTATTTCTCAATGGTTATAACATTATATTTACATTTATTAACACAGGCTAGGCATAAGGCATTCCATTTGTTTAAAATCTTAGCCATAGCTAATATGTAGTCCAACAGTCAACTACTTCCCCAGCACACCAAGAGCCATGGCTCTAGATCTAGCATGAAACAAAAGGAAAGAAGTGAGGGTCAGGGGAGAACAAAGCAAAGAGACAAGCACATATACATACATAATCCTAATATAGAAAGAAAAGGTAGTAATTTGCAATGTGATTGAATCCAAGGCTTCACACATGCTAGAAAAGAGCTCTACCACTTAGCTGTATCTGTCTCCTCAGAAGCAATAATATCTTGCATTTGTACAGAAATTTTCATTTCAAAGCCCTGACAAATTTCTCCACTCATTCCATGTTAACAATCTAACCAAGAAAAGAGGTTTCGAGGAATAAAATACACTTTGTAGTCAATGGATGAACCATCAATTAAATGTGTTAAGTAAATAAGGGATATGTATATCAATTCTTCACTTCAATTTGCATTAAAAAATAAGGGTTCTCACTTTAGCAGCACATATACTAAAATGGGGATGATACAGAGAAGATTAGCATGGCCCCTGCACAAGGATGACATGCAAATTCGAGACATGGTCCATATTTTTTTAAAAAAACAAAAATATGAGGAACTGGGGCTAGAGAAATGGCTCAGCAATTAAGAGCATTGGCTTCTCTTGCAGAGGACCTAGGTTCACTTCCCAGCAACCACATGGCAGCTAACAACCATCCACAACTCCAGTTCCAGGGGATCAGATGCCCTCTTCTGGCCTCTGCATGCATTATATAACATACGTGCACTTACATACATGCAGGCAAAACAGTTACACAAATTTTTTAGATGAGGAACTTAGACATGGGAAAATAGAAGGACTTATCTCCCCCCATAAACTTCTTTAAATTTGTTTTTAATTATCAAAGTAACAGGTTTCATTGAGGCATCCACATACATGCACGCACGCGCACGCACGCACGCGCACACACGCACACACACACACACACACACACACAATTTCTTTTTGTTGCTCCTCCTCCTGACTCTTACTCTGTACTCTGCCCACCTACATCCAGCCTTCCCTCCTCAGTAGTTCTCCTTTCAGCTAAGTACTCATATGTATTCAGTTAATCCCTCTGTTCATTTTCCCCTCTTGTGGATGCCTTTCTACACTCACAACTACATATCTGCACAGATATAAAGTTAAAAATAGTATGCATATTCACTTTTCTTAATTTTTTGAATCAAGTTATGACTAATTCAGAAATAAAAAATCCAAAAATCAAGTAAAGTATGGATTGCCATGACAACTATCTGAACCCTACTGCATTAACTATTATTTTTTGAATTGTCAGGTTTTGGCCTATAAAATTTTTAAAAAATGACATTATGAGATAGCAAAATATTTTATCAGAAATGAAACAGTTTAAGTTACAAATGCGGCATCAAAAAATTTTATTCATTATTACTTAGGATGATAAAAAAAATTTCCTTGTTTGAAGAAGAAATTGGTAGGCAGAAAACCAAGTGCCTCCTACTATACAGAAACTAATGATTTAAAATTCCAATATATAAGTGATTTTTTCAAAGTGAATTCACATTAACTGAAATGTCATTTTATCTTGTCAGTAAGCTGAGGGAGAGAGTAAGGACAGAGACTGTGTCAGTAACATGAACAATACTAAGGCTTGGATAACTTTCCAGAGTGATCCAAGTCATCTCACTCAAAGCATAATACTCAATATTATTCGCCACAGAAAATATACAGTAAGGTATTGTCATGGTTACTCAACAAAACTTTAAGTCAGTTGTATAAGCAATATTTAAATCTTTCTTGGAGCTGGGGTAGTTTTACTCAATGGTAAAGGACATACTTGGCACATATGATGTCCTGGGTTCAAGCCTTCCCACCAATAAAGCAATCAAACAGTAAATCTCTAAATACTTACCTGAGCCAAGCAAATTATAATTAATGGTGACCAAGCTGGTTAAACACCAAGTCTAAATATTTAATGTAAACATTTACCTCTTTCCGCTTTTGTAGCAGGAGTTCTAGCCTTTCGTTGGCTCTTTTTCCAATCATTTTATTCCGCTCTGCCTCATACTGTCTTTGTGTGTTATCCATATTAATGCTAAGATTTAGTGCCACATTCACCAAAGCTGTCATCAACTTCATAGCTAGGTTTTAAAGAATAAAATGTTGAAATTAGTGTAACAGATGCAAAATTTTATAACAATCAAATTAAGAGAAATTAAACAAAGAAGGTCTGTTGTGCTTCTGACAGAAATAAAGCATACAAGTGATAACAGCCAAAGCTGCAGAGAGTACTATGTATCAATACACTGGCGATACTAAATACTCTGTGTATTATCCTAATCCTTTGATTCATAGCACCCACATGGCAGCTAACAACCATCCATATCTCCAGATCCATGGAAAACCAATGACCCCTTCTGATCTAAACGGGCATTGCAAGACATGAGTGATTTACATACATGCAGGCATTATGCTCATACACATAAAAATAAAATATTAAAAAAAGAATTATAAATTTTAATCATAGCTGTAGTTTTTCGAGAAAATATTCTAAAGAAAAACTTTAACAGTTAAGGTTTTCACAGAAATCAAAATTATCATAAAAGCCTAGAATTAGAATATTACAAAACTTAAAGTCTATTTGATTTATTCAAACTCAAATCAGAAAGCACATATTCGGTAACAGTGTACTGGCAAATTTACCTTTCGAACAATCATAAACTAGAAGATTTTGTCCTCATGAAACCAAGGTGTATTGTTTTATAATGAACCAGGTAAGGTAAAAAAATGTCAATCATTTAAACTTAAAGATCAAAGTATATGATCTGACCTAAATCTATCTAAGAAGAGTAGAAAACTTAGCAATTTGCAATTTAATTAAGAAAACAAGTATTGTCAAATAGCTGAAGGGGCTACTCATATCAGAGACAAGTATCAGGGTCACCAATTCTAAATACCTAAAATGACTATGTCTCTCCAAGTTTGTTGTCAGTATCCTCCCTTACATCACATCTTAATAAAAAAAAAAAAAACTCATGCCTAAGTATCAACTTTCCCCTTGCTGTGACATGGTAATCAAGTAGGTTTGCCACAATAAAGCCACCATTTTCTACATAGATCTTCAAAGAATCAAAAATGCATATACCAATTCTTAGTTTACAGGGCATAAAGGAAAAGGAATGTTCTCTTAGTGGGCATTGTATTTAAAAAAAAAAAACACAACAAACTAACTTCATCACTTATTTCCTTTCCGCTTTCATAGGAATCTTTCTCATTTCTAACCTAAAGCAATATCCAGAAAACATTTCAATATACCAACCTGCCAACGTGCTTGTATGTCGAAAAGCTCTGACTTGTGAGTCAGACAGACCTGTCAGAAGTGAAATGACTGTATCCATCATGTACTCATCATATATGATACTATATTGACATTGTCGTACTAATACACCAATGAATTCACAGAAACTGGACTTGAACTTCTTCCACTGAGGACCAGCCATGGTTAGTGGATAATCTCCACTATCCTAAAACAAAAATTTTCAACAGCAATGTCACTTCAAATTCATGACTTAAGGTTTCATTTATTTTTAAAACACCCTAGGCAAAAGCATGAAAATACTGCTTTATCTTTCCTTCAATAAATTCTCAAAGAAAGCAAAAAAAATATGCAAAGATAAATGTCCCTTTGAACACTGCCCTTTTATTAAAGATCAAAATAGACATTCTGAATTAACTTTGCTCAATGAAATTATATACCTATTACTGGAGTTAAATTTTTTAAGTCTTCTCATCGAAGTACAATATTCTGCAGAAAATCACAATAAACCTATTAAATTTTATAAGAACAAAAGCAATCCAAAACAAAAATCATGTTTTCAAATGGATTCAAAATTATGAAATCATACTCTTAGTCCAAGAGAATGATACATAATTGAAATCTAGTGGTTTAAAATTTGTTTTGATTACTTCCAAGACACCAAACAGTCAATCGGCATAAACAACCACATAATTTATTAACATACACAAAGCTGTGGCTATAGCTCAGTGGTAGAGCACTTGTGAGCATGAGTGAGGCCTTAGGTTTGATCCTAAGCACCACCAATTTTAAAAAGAAAAGAAAATGTAGGTACTAGAGCCTTCAAAGACCAACACATAAGTTTTCCTTTGAATAAAAATGTGGCATTCAGCATTCTCAAGTTAAAACATTCTCCACAAATCATTAAAATAAGTTTCAGGCTGAGGGTATATGGAGCTCAGTAGTAGAGCACATGCTAAGCACAAGGCCCTGAGTCCCAGCCACAGCACTCACATATATATATATATATGCACACAAAGACATATTTAAAATAAAGCAGAGACCAATATTAACAGAATTTTCAATAGTAAGGGTCTCTGACAAGAGAAACAAAAATACTTATCATTTGTTTTATCAGTTCAATTCATAAGTATTTAACAATTCACTTCACAATTTTGTATTTTAATCCATGCTATATACTAGTCGAACTTTGAGAATAAAACCTTAGTATATACTCCATACAGATGTCCTTCCATTTATTTATTTATTTTTTTTTTTGGAGTGAGGTAGATTAAACCAAGGTCTAGACCAGGTTAAACACACACTCTACCACTGACCTACTGATGAGTTGACTATAATGAAATATAGTTTGTTTGACTATAATGGAAACAAGTCTGTTTGATGAGATGTTCATATCACATTTCAGGATGATTAACTCAAACTCTTGTTTCCTTTTAGTAAAAAGATTCTCACTAAAACATTTAATATTAAAAGGTTTAAAATACCATTACTCATAATTACCTCTCCACTACCCAGGGATTTATTAATAGCACTAAGTGAGCATCAAACCCATTTTAGCACTCTTGTATCTCTTAGCATGATAGCTGAAAGCTTTTTCATTAAACAGAGCAAGACGAAAATGACCAAATAAACCTGAGTAAGAGTCCACTTGAAAATTCACATTGTTTAGAAGCATGAAACTCCTGGTGCTGGAATAGAGCTATGACTAAAACAAGCACAAATTCCTGTCCTGAAGAAGCTTTCACTCTAGTAAATCTACAAATATGTTTACTGATAACAATACTTCAATGATATGACTGTGATAAACAACTCCAGTGCAGATACTTTTGATTGTTCTTACAGGTGAAACATAAAGAAGCTTTGAATGTAATGCTCTATATATTTCTTTCAGCTACCTAGTTCCTCAAATACGGGTCAAATAATTAATATTTATTAAATTACTGGTATGTGACTAGAATTATAAAATGCTAAGCAATTTTCAAACACTGATGCTAATTTCAGAGGGTCCTTCTAAGAAATTATTGGCCCCATTTTACCGGACTGATGCTAATACAACTTATCTGTGGTTATATATCATCTGATTAGTATTATAAGTCACATAGGTACATAGTATCACATTAGTACTTAAAATACTTAAGAGCTAAGATCCACAGGAATAAAATTATTAAAACATTTTGGTTGTTACCTCATCAAATTCTTCAGTCATTTTTCGAATTATCTCAGAGTTCTGCATATGTCTAAACATTTCTGCTGTAACAAC